CCTGGCTGCCAGTTTTCTGGGTAGCTGGAGTGGGGGAGGGCTGGGTGGTCTGAGCCTATGTTTGCTTAATTCCTTCAGTGTTTTCAGTTTAGTACTCCCACCCTCGCCTTAAATCCTCTGGTCCAGAGACTCTCCATTTAAGCTATGGAGAGAATAAACCTCCAGAATTCTACTGGGGTGGGGGAGGAGTGATCTAGAGATCTGACCACCTGCTTTTTAATTGTTTTCAACTAATTCTCCCGTTTCTGCTGCCTGCCTAGCCACTCTCCATGGGGTAACTTTGCTGTCCTCTTATGTCTCACACCAGAGTGAAGTGGTTCAAGTAAGGCACCATGCAAGATGAACTGCTCTTAATCAGGCAGAGATTTTGGCCTCAGGCACCTCACAAGCAGCCTATGGAAAGCTTTTGGAGGGTCAGGTACACATGTCTGGTCATTGGGACCAGAGGGACAGTGCTCCAACTATGTCCCAAAAGCTGTCTTTGAAACCTGTGGGCATGAAGGAGACTCGAACCACCGACTCTTCTGTAGAGACAAGGTGTTCATTACCTGTAAGAAGAGGAGAATTGCCTTCGAAATTCTTAGCATTCGGATTGCAGCCATTCAGAAGAAGAAAACTGGCATTTTCTAAGAGGCAATTACTGACAGCCAAAAAAAGTGGTGTTTCACCATTGTGGGTTGTTTGCTCCCATGTGCTGGGTTTTGAAGCTGAAATAGCACACAGGTTAAGATGTAGAAATAAATTTTAAATTTATTTCTTAGAAGCATCAAAAAGAGTAAAAGGGAGTTTACCTTTTAGGGTTATTTCCAAAATGTTCTTATTTATTTGCACTGCAGCCTTATGCAAAGGAAGCCAGCCGATCTCATCTGCTTCATCAAAAGCAGAATGGTACTTGGTTAAGTGTGACAATGCATCTTCCTTACCTATTAACAAGTCAAATGAGAACAGATTCACTTTTGGCACACATACAAGGCAGCCTATATTGCTTCTGAATTCCACCACCAAATTTAGTGTGTGAGACAACAGAATTCTAGCACCACCTTTTACAAAAGACAAATTCCAAAGACATAGGACAGACAATAAGAACTGCCATCTAGCATTCCATACCACCTGGGCCTGTGAACACCCACCCCAGTGTCTTGTTACATACAGAAAAATAGCCCCCTCTATGAGGAACCCTGGAGCTCTTTGCTAAGTTGTGTTGACGTATTTTCTCCCAGAAAGGCCACATCAGACTCTTGGCAGTCAGCTGGGGACCCCCGTGGTGTTCAGCGTTTGGAAAAACCTGCCCCTAGGCTTCTGGAGCTTCAAGGGAAATGCAGCCAGTTGTCGCCATCACGTCTTACCACAGTTAAAGGAGATAGACTAGGAAGAGTACTTAACTGTCTCTATTGTTTCAACTATCTTCTTATAGTCAGTGCTCAAAAAGGAATGGAAGCTGTGCAGAAAAAAAAAATACATGTGTAATTCCAAAACTGAGGAAAAAACTAAGGTATCTGACAAAAATCAAAAGGAAAGGGTAAAGGCAGTAATAGTTAATCAGGAATGAACTCTCATATGAGGCAATGACTGAGGCTTACTAGAAATACTTCTATTTGTAAAATGTAAAATATTGTAAAATGTTTCCCTAGAACGTGCCCTTAACACATTCTGGGGAAACTCCTTCCCATGTCTGCCTTCCCTCATTAGACTTCGCTGCTTTAGGGCCAGGACTGTGTGAGGGCCTGGATCCCAGTAAGCCCCCAATCAGTGTTTGCTGAACTGAATCAAACCTGCCTAGGAATGAAAGGTCACATTACTGCACGGTAGTATTTAATGGCCACCCTGTAATGTCAGTAATTCTAGCAAAAATTATTTTAAAAATAGTAGATCGTCATGGTGTGAGTTTTTAACACAAAAGTATAGGACTAGTGTGTGGTTTAGAGCACAGAGTGGCTCTTCATTTACTAGCTCTTGGCCTTGGGTAAGTCACTTAACTTTTCTGTGCCTCAGTTTCCTCACCTCTAAATGGGGATAATAAGAGTACCTACCTCACAGAGAGGTAATGAGAATTAGAATTTAAATGAATTAATATTTATGAAGTACTTAAAATAATAGTGATCACTCCATGAGTTTGTTACATTAAAAAAATACCATAAGATTGATGTACTTCATCATCTCTATATTTATTTATGTTTTCTTTTTTAACATTTTTTATCTACTGACAAGTATGTAGAGCAATCTATATTTAATTATAAAATCTCCCGGGGTCAAAAGACATTTATCCTGTTTTACCTCAGGCAGGCAAATAGAGATCACCATCCCAAGCAAACTAGGTTTATCACCCCAGTAAAAACCATGGTTCCCACCTCAGGGGGCTGAGGCTGCTGATCACAGGGAGTGTTTGACCAGGTGTGCTTGACTGCCTATAGCCAGGGCCATTCTTACACCACGGAGGGACACATCGGTCCTTTTCTACTGTTACCATAACAGAACTCTGAATCCACATCTTTAGAAGGGGATAATCTCTCCTGGGTTTAAGTTTACATCATCCCACCTTTTGACTTGAGTAGGTCAAAGACTAGACCCCATCCCCACCTACCCCACTAATAACTTTCTATGTGTCTTGGTTGGATTTATGCATTTCTTTAGCTCCCTGAAGACAAGATCTGTCAGAGTTTTCTTCTCTAGCCCTTCATAGCCTTATTTATTTCTTCCTTCTGATTTCCAGTCTGCACCTCCTCACCCAGATTTGCTGCTAACCTCCTTCAACTACTTTTTTTAACTGCCTAATTAAATTCTGAATTCTTTCCAGATTTTTCCTGTCTCATCAAGCATCATGTCTTGAACATATTTAAATGACAGTTCCTTGGATTCTGACCCTCTCTCCTGTTTTTGTCACAACAATAGAGTTAAGCTAATGACAAGTCTCAGCTGTTGAATACAGTACTTCATACTACACTGCCCACGAGGAAACATTACCTCTCATCCTCAGGTGCACGTTGTGTTGTTCCTGGCATGTAAATATCCTGCAAACTCTGTTGAATGCTGAACTGAGTGTCAAAATCATCCTCTAAGTCTTCATCACTGGTGTAATTATCCATGTGAAACGCCGACAAGTTTACTTTAAAGTCAGAATGAATTAAAAATATTTTTCCAGTTGTGAAAAGATTATCAACTGCTTAAAATTATAAATGAAATTTAGAAAATTAGAAAATTAATAGGATTGATAAATGAAGAAAATACAAAATTTAGAAAACACAGTATTCATTTAAAAAATTTTCCATAAATTTACAACAGTTTCCTGAACTTCCATAGATTCAACATAAATTAGAAGTTTCCACAAGTAGCCATTTACTTAAAGCTTATTCAGGAAAAACAACCGTTCACGTAAGACTTAGGTCAGTGCCATTGTAACATTGATAATGCTCATATTGATCTATTTTAGGCTTGCCTTGTGAGTTTTTCTGCGATTGTAGCACTCACCCAAAATATCTTTAGAGTATTCCGCTGAAAATAATATTTTACTTAGTAATCACTAAAAGTAAACATGTTATAGGAATAAATGTACTCTTGTAATACAACATATAATAGGAATAGCATAGCAAAAACAAATGTATTCTATTAGACAGTATCTAAATGGTTTTAAAAGAACATTTTCAGTTTTAGCATTAAATAGGTTTGATCACATATGAAAGACTCGTTTACCTTTTGTTATATCCTTTAGGACAGCACTGAAGTTTTCACTGTTAAGGACTAGCACATGTAAGGCTCAGAATTTTCATTTATATTTAGGATCTCCACTCCCCTGCAGTGACCATTCCATTAATAGCTTTACTATAAATACTTGATCATAAGACAGTCTGGCACATTCTCCTTGTTTTTTTACATGTGGTTTAGCTCTCTTTGGAAACATGATCTCTTTTCTTCACTGCTGTAATCCATCAAATTTAAAGGATTAAATATTTTATTCCTGGGATAAAATGTTTTAGCAAGGGGCTGGCCATGGAAAGAGAATTCATTCTCTTAAGACCCATGTGCACAGCCACTGCAAATCAGAATCAATTTTCCACTTAAGAGAGGCCAAACATTTTGCTCGGACTGAATTATCAAGAGTGACTGTCCCAACAGTCCAGATTCACTGGGTAGCTGTACCTGTATTTTCCTTGTGTTACAGAACTGTGGCCTTACGTGTCCTGGGAATCCTAAGGAAGGAATTAACTCTACACAAGACAATAAAATTTTGACTAAAACTTCGTTTTGTTGAAACATTTAAAAATTGTTAATATACACTAAAAATAGCAAAGGGACCACTTGACATTTCAGATTAAATACGCAGCAAATGCCAAAGAGCACAATGTCACATCAGCTGTAGGAGTGGGGGTGCTCTCCAGCCATCTCACTGCCTCTGTGGGTCAACTTCACTGCTTCGTGTTTCCTTTCCTAGTCACAGGAGTACTGTTAGCAATGGAACTAAGGTCTTAAAAGTATGAAATAGGGGTTTAGTTATGTAGTTGTCTTTAATATTTTCCTTATTTACAATTTCTTAATTTATGTATTTGAGATGTTTAATGTATAATTCCTTCAGGTAGGTGAGTGAAAAGTAAACTATTACTGAAGCCGAATAAATGACTTAACTTATGAAAGAGATAATTTCTGATATTAGTTGAATTTTATCTATTTAATCCCTCAAATCTTTTTTTCACATAGATATCAAACTTAAAAAAGAAACTAAATAAAACCTTCAAAGATTTTTCATATGCTTCCAACAAACACTTCTTTTCACATTTTTCTTCCACACACAGGTAGAGTCTGGCTGTAATCTCAAAAGAGTCCACCTAGAAGGCCATATTCCAAACAATAGTGGTATATAAGGGAGAAGAACAATGCAAAGACCATTTCAAAGACCATTTAGAAGAACAACAACAAGATACTTGGTTTTATAATATATATATTTTTAAGTAAGTGAAGACAATATATATTTTTTTACTTCTTTCAGATGTTTTCTAAATTTGTCCAATTTAGTCATCCAATTGACAAAGCAAAGCAACCCCACGCTTGATCCAGTGTTGAGTGGGTTGGTCTGTTTTTAACAACATTGCAATGACAAAGTTAGTAGAATGTCCTGTAGTAGAGAGGGTTCCTTTACGTTCACTTGTCTTGTAGAGGGGACAGACATAGGCATCCGATTTTATAATACGAGACTTTTCAGCTTGAAAAAAAAGAAATACATTCATTTGATAAAGAGAAAACAGTTATTCTAGGTACTAGAAGAACAACTATTTATCTTGTATATAAAATGGCCAGTACTGAATCTAAGATCATTATTATGATATGCAAAGGTTTTTAAAGTTTGTTGAAAGTTGGGTATAATATGTTTGTGAAACAAGGCAAGTGATTGCATGTGATGCATGATTCTAGGTGTAGAAGACAGGAATTGATTTTTTTAAGTTCTGATCACTTAGCAGGCATGAAGGAACTAAAGAGGTACTTGGAAGGGAAGGAATAAGAGAAGCAGAGGGTAGGGAAGAGGGAATAAAATACAGTGTAGATAATGGGGGAGACCTGAAAGGAGAAACACAACCACTTAGAGCTCTAATACAAGAAATCCATAAATTAAAAGAAGCTGAAGTTTCTATTTGTTTTGAGCAGGTTACTAATAAGAAAAACACACCAACTCTTATCAATTCACAAAAAGAATCTATGTGCAACCCCAAAAAGCTAGATATGAGATGTTAGGAGTCTTTCTAAACTAAGGTTACATTTGTCATAGCTGTAATTGAACCACAGTAATAATGAAAATATTTGATAGGTTAGGTGATGATTCTGGATGATTTGTAAATGTTTTCATTTGTTGTTATTTAAGAATAAAAAAGTTATGGAAGAGAAAACAAAAGAATGAGCCTCATTTTTTCAGACTTGTGGAAAAATTATGACAGCAACAGGAGGGAAGGAGCAAGCTTCTCCATGGGGGAAAAAGTGGCCTCCATGCTATGTGGCTTGCAATAGCTACACTTTGGGGCACCTGGCTGGCTCCTAGGCCTAGAGCTTTCTTATACCCAGAAAATGCTAGTCACTAGCTGGAGACTGTGTCAAGCCTATTTGTGCCTCTGGGCAGTGTGCAAAAGGAGTCCAGAATCAAAATATGGATGGGCAGCTGTAGGATCTTTGAAACCCCTTGTAGAAGTGGGTGGGGAGAGGGATAAAGAGAACAGTACCTCCCATGGGCTAAGAGCATAAAGAGGCAGAGTGAATTCACTATGGCAAGGATGTGGAAACAACCCAAGTGCCCGTCAATTCATGAGTGGATTATTAAAATTTGGTATACGTATACAATGGAATGTTACTCAATTATAAGAAACGACAGTTATCTAGCACCTCTTATATTTTCTTGGATACAGCTTGAGTCCATTATCCGAAGTGAGGTATCACAAGATCAGAAGAATGGGCTCCACTTGTACTCACCATCAAATTGGCACTGACTGATCAGCACTATGGCGCTCACACAGTAGTAATATTTTCCAGGGATTAGGGGGATGGGGGGTAAACCCATAACTAAAGGACACAGGGAGCATTGTAGAGGGGAAGGGCATGCCTCTAACCCTCGCTTGGGTAAGGCAAAGACATAAAATGTAACCAAAATGTTTGTACCCTCATAATATCCTGAAATGAAAAAAAAAAAAAGAATACTGGTGATTTAGAAAGCGTATTAACCACAATGAATTCTATAGCCATATAACAAATTACATTTCATCTTTAGGTTCCTTGGCGATTGCAAAAAACGTGTCACCTGGGGCAGGGGGAGATGGGGTGGGGCTGGGAAATGGGGTGGGCAGGAATATCTCAATGTGTAACCAGAGTTGTCCTAGCAACTCTGCTTGTGATTCTCTTTCTACCAGTCAGAGGTTCCAGAAATAAACCTCCTTCATCATTAGTTATTCAAAGAAAAAAGAGGCAGAGTGATATTCCAAAAATAGTGTAAGTGCCACACACAAAAAAGGGAGAATAATATATTTCCAATGTAAATAATGTAACTATTCCACCAATGTTTATTATAATTGAGGTAAATCCTAAAAAGTTTGAGCAAAAACTTATTTGGAGGAGCAATTAATATCTATCATTATTCTCCCTAAAACTCAAAAAAATTTTGTTAAGAGAATATTTACTTGGTTTTATCCATATGATGGGCATCAGGTCAAACAGAAGTTTGGGATATTGTTCAGCAAGCAATCCACTGTAAAAAGAAATTGACAGAAATTATTAAAAATAACTTACGAAATTTGCTTCTAAGAAGAGATTGCTACTTGGCTTTTAATATAAGAAAGGACCAGAGATATAGAGGAAAAGAAATGTAAAAAAAGAAAATGAAGAAGTAGCAATGAAGAATTGAGAGAAACAAAAGAAAATTATGAAAAAGCAAAGTGTAAAACAGTGGACAAATATTAGTCTCTACTAATTTTTTTCTTTTTTTTAAGAAACAGGGTCTTCTTCATATCCCAGGCTGGAATGAAGTGATGTGATCACAGCTCACTGCAACTCCTGGGCTCAAGCAATCCTCCTGCCTCAGCGTCCCAAGTATCTGGGACGACAGTCACACGCCACCACACCTGGCTAATTTTTTAAAAATCTTTTGTATAGATGGGGTCTTACTATGTTGCTCAGGCTGGTCTCAAACTCCTGGGCTCAAGGGATCATCCCACCTTGGCCTCTCCAAGTGCTGGGATTACAGGTGTGAGTCACCGTGCCCAGCCCTGCCAATTTTTAAGTACCATCCAGGAGGCAGACATTATACTATCACATTTGACCCTCACAAATGATCCTGTCCCCATTCCTTTTCCTATTTCACAGATAAAGATTGGAGGCTCAGAGACACTGAGTACTTTTCTCACAGTTACATAGCTCTTAAGTGCCAGCGTCAGGATTCAAACATAGATCTGCCTATCTAGAAAATCTGGTTTCTTTTCACTGTGCTTCATTGTTGAGTGGTTGGTTGGAAGGAAGGAGGGAAGGAAAAAACGAATCCATACATAAGGCAAATTGAGTTAAGAACAATGGCTGTAAAGTGATGAAAAAAGAAAAGAGATAGAAATAATAAAATGAATTATGTGCAGTTGGGTCCCCTCATAACACCATTTGGAACTATTTCTGTCGGA